AGATAAAAACCTTTAGATAAACCAAACATTACCGCCACATATCTGACTAATTAACCATTAAAAGAACTATTTTCATTACTTTCAAACGGAACTATTCACATACTTGTATCATATTAAACTACACTTCCAATTTTCACCACTGGTCGGCGCCAAGTAACCTTTCCTCTGATCACGGAGCAGCCGGCTTGCTTGGTCTCGCAATGAATTTGCAGTAAATTTGCCCGTTGTGGGACAATAAAGAGATTTTCTATTCTATAAATGATAATATAAAAGGGGTAGAAATATATAAGTAAATCTGAACAATGTATGTATAAAAAATATATCTGCAAAATCAGCCAGCCAAACCCATTTACACAGTAACAGGTAAAAACTTTTAGATAAACCGAACATTACCGCTACATATCAGATTCTATAACCATTAAAACAACTATTTTCATTTGTTTCAGACGGAACTATTCACTGACTTGAAAGGCAAGGCAAGGCAAATTTATTTTTATAGCACAATTCAGTACAAAGACAATGCAAAGTGCTTTATATGATTAAAATATAGGACAATAAAACAGAATCAAAGCAAGTAGGAAAAAAAATAAAATAAAAAATGTAGAGACAAAAAAGAACATTAAAAACAGTTGTACTAAAGAAAATAAAAAAGTTGAACTAATGATGTTTTAGTTGAACTGTTTAACTAGAACAGTCGAAGGCAATCCTAAACAAATGTGTTTTTAGTCTTGATTTAAAGGAACTCAGGCTTTCCGCACTTTTACAGTTTTCTGGAAGTTTGTTCCAGATAAGTGGAGCATAGGAACTAAATGCTGCTTCTCCATGTTTAGTTCTGGTTCTAGGTCTGCAGAGCAGGCTGGAGCCAGAAGACCTGAGTGGTCTGGAGGGTTGATAACATGTATCATATTAAACTGCACTTCCAATTTTCACCACTGTTCGGCGCCAAGTAACCTTTCCTCTAATCACAGTCCTTCCAATCTGGCCTTCTAAGGACGCATCCCATGAATTCGAACAGGGCCATTATGAGGTCTTAGTTTTTGGAGATGGACTTCCGTGCATTTTTTTTTTTTTCCTGTTTAGAGTTAGATTTTTTCAAATCTAACATAAAAGTTGAATAAATAAATTAAAACTAGATTAAATAAATGGAAGAAAGGCCATGAATTATATCAGACTTTATTGTAAAGAACATTTTCTGATCAAAAGTCTTGAATTCATGAGGAAATAAATTTGAACAAAGTGGAAGGTAAATTCATCTTAATTTGACTTTTTTTTTTTCTCTAAAATGATCAAACAATAAATCTTTTGGCATCTGTTGAAAGTCTGTTAAAACCTTTTAGCTGTACATGCTTTAGTCAGTTGGGCATAAAGTATAAAACTTTTATCCAGTGTCCAATCCCAAATATACTTGAACAAGCTGTTGATTCACATGTTTCTTTTTTCATTAACATTTGACGAAGTGTAAGGAATTCAGCTTTAAGCGTAACGCAACGAAAAATGATAAAATCAAGACAAAATAGTAATAAAAAAAGTAAACTTTTGATCTGAGTTTTTTTGTGTTCTTTCACTTCATAGATGTTGTGTAAATAAGAGTGGTAATGTTTACATCCTTAAATATATCCTCTTTTATGGCCTAACCTAAATGTTTTAGATTAGATTAAGAGCTTTTTACATAAGACTAAAATAACCTGAATAAAAATATATATTTGAAACCACAGTTATAATTGGTAATAGGAAAAACTGGATCAAAAACAAGCGGACAGCGGCTGTATAGAAGTTCTCATCTCCTGAGCCTGAGGACTGCTCCACCCTGTGCCCCTTCTGGAGGTTCTGCTAACTCTCATCGCTGCGGAGGAGTTTGGATCCACTCTGTAAGAGAAATGCGACTTACTTTGACTAGGCCACCACAAAAAAAAAAAAAAAAAATTGCTGGTGAGCTCTAGATCATTGTTCTCCAGAACCATGGTGGTCAACTCAGTTTTTATTTCCGTTTATTTCTATAGCGCCAATTCACAACACATGTCATCTTTAGGCACTTTACAGTTCACCTGATCAGTCAGTCAGATTGATTCAAAGTTTTCTATCTAAGGAAAAGCAGCTGATTGCATGGAGTCATTGACCAGAAGGCAATCACTCACACCAAACATACTTACAGCGACAGTGGAGAGGAAAAACTCCCTTTTAACATGAAGAAACCTCCAGCAGAACCAGGTTTAGTGTGAGCGGCCATCTGCCGAGCCGACTAGGGTTCAAGGACACCAGCTCCACAGGCGGCCCCGTCCAGGAAACACACAGCCAGGCAGACGAGCTCACAGCCAGCTCCCATGTCAGAGGACAAAGAGAGCACATACAGTTAGACACAATCAGAGAAACAGGACTACACTGAAAAATAGGCAGAGCTCAAACATCTAAAGGTGTTGACTGAAACAGAACAGCTGATATTTATATAACAGATTCTGCAGAGTGGGAGAATAGAGATAGAATGAAGCAGAATGATGAAAATGGGTCCCTATGTCCTCCAGCAGTCTAAGCCTATAGCAGCATAACTGTAATGATAGCTCAGGATAACCGTCAATGAATGTTAAATCAAAACCGGTTTTCTGCCTGAAACTGCCGTTAGTGTCGCACCTTCCATCTCTGCAGTGATCTTAGGAGTTCCTGTTTTTGATGTATTTGTGGGGTTTTTTATTATCAATTTGATGTTTCAACCTGAAATAACCTCTGATCTGATCTAAATGGTTCTTGAAATAACTATAAATGTTTCCCTGCATGTTCTGCTGCTTTCAGATTGATCCGGATAGAGTGGCTGGTTCTGTTCCCAGCGAGGCCATTTGATGTGACCAACCAACAAGAAGTAGAGCAAATGATCATGCTGGGTGTAAAGCATCAGATGAACACTACATGGATTCCAGTTGTATTCAGAGGCAATGAATGCTAAAGATGCACTTTTAGGACTTTTATTCCTGATAAATATTTCCCTTTTACTTTACAAAATATCCAAATAAAATAAAATGACATAAAAGTTTCTGTCATTAATGTGTGTGTTACAGCATGTGTCCACATGCATGAGCATGCCTATGCTACGGCGTAGCTGTAATCCTTTCACCAGGAAAAGCTGCTTGGCGTGCAGATTAACAGATATTTCAGCCATCTGTTCCTGCAGGAGCTGCAGCTCCTCTGCAGGGTTATTTCTGAGCTTTGTCTCAATGATCCATGAACAGATCCATGCAGAATCATGCAGCACCGACGCAGACTGGCGCAAAATAAAACTAAAAAAACTGTCTTTGTCTCATAGCTGGAACCAGCTGTCCAACTTCAATAAAAAAAAAAAATTCTGAAAGGAGAATTTAAACATGTAGCAACAGGCCTGTTCATTGAAAAATAGGAATAATTTAAATGTGTTTGTCTACTTAGGGCGATTATTGTTTTTTTATCTGCTTTTTCTTTCATCAAAAATTTTATTGACTAAAATCTGTGAGAAGGAAACCGTGAATATTTTAGGGAAACGCTGAAAATACTGCAGACATAGGTTGTCTGAATGTCCGTCCTAACCCCCACAAAATAACCCACAATGCACCTTGAAAAATAGTGAACATCGATGGTCACTAGACAAGCAGATATGTTCTAGAACGCTTTGTGAGAGCTCTCCTTTCAAAGCATCATGGGATTCTTTTTTGGGAACAGAGAACAAAGACAGCAAGAAGCCGGGGAGCGAAAAGTAGTGAACATCTGTCTGAGCGGACTGTTAACTGAGGGCAAAATAAAGTCCACTAAATAGTGATGGAGGGGTCAGGAGTTAGGGCAGGTTATCCAACACACTCTTTATGGTAATAAAAAAAAAAAAAAAAAACTACAAATAGGAACCTGGACTTTTCCATAGGAACTGATTTTCTTAAATAATTTCCCCCAAAACATAGAGTAGTTTCTGTTTTTATTTGCTTTTAGGATTAGATTACATTAGTAAAACAGACACAGACATTTTATTAGTCGTTATGAGAACGTAGATGCAATATAATCCCGCTAGGGGGCACTGTTGTCCATTAATAGAGCTTGTACTGATTTCAATTAAACATTAGTTACAGAGTTTGCTTAGAAGAAATAAGCATTTACAAAAAATCCTGTAAAATATCATAATAATGATAAAAAAAGACAAATGTAATTGAAATGGAATAAGAGTTACCTACAGAATAAAAACTAAAAATAACTTGATATAACACATGTAATAATTTGTAGGATATTGAATATGAGAACGTAAAACAACTATGCGAGTTTGAGTGGCAAAAATTAAGAAAAAAGCAGCAAATAAACGAGTTGATTAAAAGAATAGCTGTGAAAACAGTGAGATACCTATTAAAGTGTTAAAGAGATAAGCATCACCTTAAAGGGAATCTGATATAGTGTAGAGCAGGCTAATTACTAAAATAAATACAGAGGGAATGAAAGGAACATATGAGAAGAAAACCAGAAAATACCAAAAAAGGAAGGAAGTGATGCCCAGACAACCCACAGAACAGAGACAGAGAGGAGGGATAAACACTAAGAAACTGGTTCAGATGGAAACAGGAAGAAAAAAGTCTCAAATAATCAAAGACGAAAAAATGTGGGAAGAAAACGTCATGTTCAGCTTTTTCCTGAGAATTTAAAGGTTTTGGAGCAGTTTTCTCATAAAGTACGGAGAGCAGCAGCTGACTCACAGAAAAAAAAGCTGGAGGCAGAAGAATAAAGGGAAGGGAGGAGTCAAAACAAGAATGGGCCACCACAGAACCAGAACCACATCTGAAACCATGACCTGGTTAAGTCAGTGATTAATTTATCTAAGAACAAACGTCATTTAACAAGAAGAACCGACCCAATTTATCCCTGAACGAGAAAGACGGCATCAATGACCCATTCTGATCCAAAACAAGGAAGGTAATGGTTCTGGGCAAGCACGTGGCGACAGTGGACTTAGGCAATAGGACCCAAAGAGAGCAAATATGAGATCAGATGGGTCAAAAAAACAA